GGAGCTAGTGGGGCTGCCGTTGTGTGCTGGTAAAGCATACACAGGAGATGCTGCTTCGTAGAGGGAGGAAAGGGCAGAGAGCACCTCAGGGTGAAGTCTCTAAGCTCCTTGTCTCTGTGCAGACTGGGACAGCCAGCTGTTGATGCCATGGTGCTCTGCAGACAATGTCCTGATTCAACAACCCTGTTTTTCAGCTTGAAGCAGAAGCCCACAGGAGCACTGCTGAAAACAAGCCACGTGTCCAGGTGAGAAGCAAGGAGCCAGTTTTGCCAAGCAGCCAGAGGAGTGAGCAGGAGAGTGGCACAAGGCCCATCTGACTCCACAGCATCCATCTCCCTGGGGCTGGGCCCTCAAGAGGAAGGTGAGTAGATCCAGGGAACCCTTTGTGGTGGCAGGAACCACAGGTGGGCTCTGCATGGGGGTGACCAGCCATGCCATGTCCAGCTAGGGCACCAGTGGCACTGGGTGTCCCAAGACAGCATTCTGACTTGTGCATGCCTGTGTTTTGATCACTTGTCCAAAGATCACAAGGGATGTCCTTGTTGAACCAGCCATGAAAGACAAACATTTTCCCAGCATAGTTCTTAACCCTCACCAGATAGTAGCATTTTGTTCCTCTCCCTGCCCTCACTGCGCAGAGGCCAGTTTGCTGCCATGCCTGCCCTGGCCTGTGTGACACTGTGGCATGTGCAGGGTGCGTCCGAGCCTTCTGCTTTCCTGCATTGTGGGGCACTCAACCACTCTGCCAGGATGGCTTTAACAGAGGCATATTCTGGTCTAATCCTTCCCTCCAGAGCCAAGGTTCCCTGACAAAATGGGATGAGGTGAGCACTGGCCATGCCAGGGCCCTTTGCTCCACGAGGCTGCAAGCAGTTGGCTGAGTGCGGGAAGGATAATGCTCAGAACCCTCTCACTCCCCTGTCCGAGCCACTGGCCAGGAGCAATTGACATGGTTCTGGCTTCAGGTGGGTGACCCTGACCTAGGGGCAGGACAGAGGCACTTTCACTCCATGTGCAAGGGGAGTCACAGGTGCAGAACTCACCTTAGCGTATGTGCAATAACCAAGGGGTCTCCCCCCTTCCTGTCTTGCAGGGCGTGCCCTCACAACAGACTTCACGGTGGTATCAAGAGAGCACACGGGCAAGGGAATGGGCCTGCTGCAACAGAGGTGTGTGGGGCACCTGCTCTGCATATTGATCCTCCTGGAAGCTGCAGGGGTCTTGGTCTTGATGTTTTATGCTCTGCTGTGGGAAGCCGGGAACGTGGTCAATCTCCCTGACAAGCGTATCGGCTTTTACAACTTCTGCCTATGGAACGAGACAGCCGGGGAGCTGCAGTGCCTGCAGTACAGGCATCTGCAGGTGGTTGGCATCAGCCTACCAGGAATAGTCCTAGCCAGGGTTTGTGTGTACTCTTGCCTGGTCTTCAACATCTTTTACCCCCTTTTTGTTGCACATGTGAAGTGCATGGAAGACACAGAGGGCTGGAAGGCGATTCTCATCATACTTGTCATCAAGCTGATGATACTGTCCGGAGGCCTGGGTACATTCCTCTTCCAGACCTCACATTGGATTCACCTCTTTGAATTCACTGGGGGCTTCCTGGCACTGCTTGGGGCTCAGGCTCTGCTGCTGCTCCAGATATTCACTGCCACTACGTATCTTAGATGGGCCCGGCATAAGTACCCATGTCAGAGCCCTTTCCTTGTTGAGATTTGAAAGTGAAGAAGATGCAAAAGCTAGGAATTGCCCCATTTAGAACAATATTAGCACTACAGCTTTTGTAACTGGCGGAAATTTAATCTCTAGTCCAAGTGCTCATGTCCAACCATGCTCCAACACAGAGCTGTGATTGCCAGGCAGGCACTGGCACCAATCCGGCAGCAAATGGGCAGCAGACACCAACAGCAATGTGGAAGCTTCCTGGGAATGGCAGCACATAACACACCGCAGCCTGGAGCATGGCACCACAGAGACACTGGCCATGACCCTGAGGACAGCAAAGGAGAAAGATCAGACCCAACACAAGGCAGATATGTCCATCAGGCAGTATCTTGCCTAGTGTAGGCAGCCAGAGAAGCAAAACGGGCTTACTTTCCTGGACTTTTCCAAAGACATTCAGCTGCTTCTCCACCTCCTGGATAACCAGAGGCTTCTTAAAAATAAACATGAGAGAGGAACTTTGTCTTCACATTGCCATCACAGCTGTGCAAGCCCCAGGTGTGCAGTGGAAACACTTTCTTCAACCGGAGCACCTGAACTTCATCGGCTGGAGTAACGCTGAGTTACATGGCGACTCTGTGGTTTATTTGGATGAGGTGGCTCTTGTCCAAATCCAGGAGCAACATGGCACCTGAAGGGCATTTTAATCATTGGCTGAACACAGCCATGATGAGGATAGCTTTCCTGAGGACTCAAGTTGGATTTTGGTGCAGACCCCCAGGCTCTCACTGACACTATGCAGCTGAGCCCAGTACTCCAGCAGCCTCAGAGACCCTTAGCAGAGACCAGTCCTGCGCAGAAGCAGCTGGCTGCCGAGCTGTTGGCAACCTCATATGAAGCAGCACTAGTTGTCAACTCTGTCCTTCCTGGGCGCACAAGGACCCATCTTCTCATCTCTCCTTCTGTAGGATCTTGATGAGAGCACAGTTGTGGCAGTGGTTTGATTGATTTCTCATGTCAATACTCTGCTGTTATTCATATCTGCCTGAGCCTTGTGTGTTCTGTTCATTACTCCCTTCCAGGGTGTGCTTGCCTTGTGCCTTCAAGCCTACCCCAGACTCCCAATACACCCTACAGCAGGAGCAGCCACAGGTGCCTTAGGATGGTCCCTGTCCCCCATTAACCTGCTCCCACCCACACATCCAGCTGAAGGGGGGCTGTCCCGGGCTGGGGGCAAATTCAGTACCAGGATGCGCAAGCACAGGTCACAAAGCAGCCGTCAGGGAGGGACAGCAAAGGCAAGTGAGCTCCAGGACCCTTCTGTAACAGCACTGGGAAGGGTAAGGACAGCCCCGCAAGATGACAGCCTCAGGGCCGCAGCATTCAGGCTGAATCACAACCATCCAGCTCTGGAGACCAAGGCTGGGGAGTCCCTGCTCCCTTCCTGCCCCAGCATCTACCTGGCAAAGGGACTTTCACAGGCAAAAGTCTCTGTAACCTCCTTTAATCTGGCTGTACTCTGAGGTGTCAGGCACAAATGATACACCCTTCCCCGGGGCCAAACCCGGCCGGTCCCAGCTCATGCTGTGAGGAAGGAGCTCCCCCTTTCCCCTGGCCAGCACAGGCCCCGTCCCTGCCCTGTGGTGAGAGACCACAGGCCATGGCCAATGTGTGGCCACCCCACGGCCTCACCCTCACTGCTCCAGCTGCCTGCAGACATGAGGCAGCTGGGGCAGCCTCATGAGAGAGGCATCAGCTGAAAAAGATCTCCCTGACATATTTCAGAACATCGTCGTCCTCCGAGTCCTGTCCGCCAGGCTTCTCGGCACCAGTGTGCGGAGGGGATGGCTGCGATGGATTGCCGTTGCTGCGCTCCTCCATGCTGGCTGCACTGGTGGCAGGGCTGCTCGGCGTTGGATTGTCCTGCTCCTCCTCGCTTGCAGACCAGGCCTTCTCCTGCGCTTGCTCGCGCTGCAGCTTCTGACCAAGGGGAGACAAGTCGGGCCCTGCTGCAATCACCCCCAGTGCTGGGGGCCGCTGCAAGGCAGGTGCTTGGGGCACAGAGCCCCACAGCCCTCCCCCAGCAGCTGCGGCGAGGAGAGGGGCCAGGGCCAGCACACTCCGGCCGCAGGGCTCACCTCGGCCAGCACCCCCAGGGCCACGTCCACCAGCTCCGCCTCGGTCATGCAGTAGATGGTTGCTGCCCTGGGGAGCGAGGGGAGACGCTCAGTTGAGAGCCCGGATGCCGCGGCCCCAGGCGCGCACGACAGGGTTTACCTGGCCACCACCTGCCCCTGCCTCTGCCGCCGGCGCCGCCGGGCTGCCGTGGGGGGAGGGCCAGCCGGTGCCGCAGGCTGTTCCGCCGCCGCCATCCAGGCGGGCAGCAGCCGCCGCCTGCCTGCCGCCATCTTGTGCACGGGGCCGGAGGAGGGGGGGTCTGCGCGGAGCTCCGGGCATCCGCTCCGCTCCGCAGAGGTCATGGCCACCGCCGGGGGTGCCGGTCCCTGAGCTCACCGGCTCCACGGAGAGAAGTGCCCTCACCTGCCGCACAGCTCTCCTGCGCTGCCGCCCGGTGCCTCCGCGGACCTCCACAAAGAGCCTGGGCCCATTTTGTCTGTCACTCCCTTGCGAGAGCTGGGAGCAACTCGCTCCCTCCCACAGCCTTATCTAGGCGAATAAACCCATGCGCGCCACTGCGTCACTTCTCATGCAATTTCCTCCTTGAGAAGGACGTCACGTGGTGAGGGAAGAGCTTTACTTTGGGATTCCCCTCTCAACCAAGAGGGCTTCCTCTTTTGCAGTCACTTTTTTGGGGGCTGGTTGTATCTCTTCCACTGCCAGGGACGATTTCTGCAGGTGCCAGTAGCCCTTTTCCCAGCAAAGCCATTGGAGCAGCAAAAGGGCAGAGTAGGAGCTGACATTTAAGCCGATCGGGCTGGGGGCACTTGGTCAGTGAGGGATCCACTGCACAGCCTCAGTCTCTCCTGCCAAGGAGACACACTGTCCCCTGTGGCCCCCTTGAGCAGCACTGCGGTCAAAGGCTACGTCCTTAATAGTAGTAGGCTCCGCCTCCAGGGAAAAACCACAGCAGGACAATGTTACGGTTTTACTGTGCTGTAGCCTGATCTCCCAAACATTCCATCACGTGGTCAGAACCATGGGGCAGGTGGCAAAGGGTGAAACTTTTTTGAAGGTTTTAAAACCAGCTGTCAGCAAATGCATCCATATCCACTTCAACCACGCTTTACTCGAAAGGCTCCCCCCTTTGACATCCTTGAATATCTTGTTCTACCAAGTCGGATTTTCAAGGTCAGATCTTGGCCTCTCTCTTGACAACCACCCTGCTATTGTTATAAGAAGCCTCAGACAAGAACACACCCAAGGACATTATTTTTGCTGCTGTTGCTAGTACATCATGAGAGAGGTCATCATCAATCATGATATGGTCAAACAGCAAATGCTGCTTGAAGACAAAGATAAGGACCACCCCACACCTTATCTTCCAGGAACCAGCTGAAAATGGACAGTGAGGCCAAAACAGGGCTCCCTGAGCCAAAATGAGACCATATATGGAAGTAAGTTAATGGAGTGAATCAAAAAGACACCAAAAGATGACCATCAGGGGTCTCCAAAGGCCACCAGGGACACCAAAGGGACAGAAGGCGCATGTGTGTGAGGACAGGGTATATTGTAATTAGTTCTAAGAAACAGAAGGACCGTGTAGTTAATAGAGAAATATACGCTTTAGTCACTGCAACTCACATCACGCATAACAGGAGGACCTATTCCTCGTGCCTCTGGCACTCGAATAAAGAAAATGTCCTCTTAATATGGTGTTGGTTTTCTGAAACAGGTAATATTTACAAGAAACAATAGCAACTCTCTCAGGCTGATGCAATCTTGTCATGTAGTGCTCCAAAGGAAATGGAAAGCAGGGTGGGAACAGACCTTTAAATCCTACAGCAGTCACGTACATCCCTGCCCTCCACTTGAGAGCAGCTTCTTCAGCACATCAACAGAATCTGCAAAAAGGAGCAAACCAGCAGAAGTAGGTGCCTGCCTTTTCACAAATTTTCTCTGTAAGCCTTAGCCCTCAGCAGCCTGACAGTCACCTGTAACTGTCTCCTTTGGGATTTTCTTTGGAGCCTTTCCAATCTTTAATTGTTCTTTTGCTCTGTCTTGCCTTCCCTGCTACTCACATAAGGAGTATTGCAGACAGGGGGGAGTTGGGAGAAATGCATGTACTTCTGCAGGTTGTTGTCCATTTGCTATCCTGTGCAGGGCATTTCCTGCTTTCCTCTTTCACTTCACATCTGGCAGCAGCACTTCAGTTGGTGGGTCTCTTATTTGTGACAGAAAATGCCACACGGGGTTTGGGAAAGCAGTTTCTTTTCCTGAAAGAATTCATTAAAACAGGTTTGCAGGAGTTGGATGAAAACAAAGATGAACATCTACTACTTCTGCTTTTCTTCTTTGCAATGCACGAGTTTCTAGCTTGGGGCATTAGGGCAGGAAGGGAGACAGAGTGTCTGTAATGTAATCTCCCTGTTTGAACAAAGTCCCCACAGCTGGCCTGATCCTAACCTTACCCTGTGCCCTCCTGGAAATGGAAGAGCCTTAAGGAAGAGAGAACACAGTGAAGAACAGACAGAGAGCTATATGGCACAGGTTCCCTCAGGACAGAGTAGGAGTGCACCCAATGTCATGGCAGGGTCAGGCTCTTCCCGGATACTGTCCGGATGGAGGAGAGGGGCTAGTGTCCTCATGGGGTCTCTCCAGGGAAATAGGGCCTGGGAGGGTCATCAAAGTCACCAGCACTGCGGCCAGACCCTGGTGTTGCCCACTGTCTATAGTCAGTGGGTGACAATAACAGCACTGGATTAAATCAATTGAGGGAGAAAGGTGCCATGGGAAGGGGCACAGAGGGCATGGAGCAAAGTGGAGCCCACTACAGAGCATGCCCCGTCAATGGTGTCTCCCCCTCCATCTCTCCTCCTAGGCAGCTTTGAAACGAGGAGAAGGCAGCATGGGCAAAGCAAGGGGTGCTGTGCAGCAGAGACCTGCAGACAGATGGCTTGGCACCACAATGTTTCTCAAGTCTGTGTTATCCTTTATCCTGATGTTTTATGCCCTCTTCTGGGAAGCTGGCAACCTCGTTGATCTTCCTGACAAGCGACTTGGTTTCTACAATTTCTGCCTGTGGAATGAGACAGCTCAAAAGCTACAGTGTCTGGCATGCACAGATCTGGAAGGCACTGCCATCAACACAGAAATAATAAAGTTAGCTATTTTTTGTGCATATTCACCTATAGTATTCACCCTGTTCTATGTTATTTTCATCTCATTTAAGATGTACACCCTTGAAAGACTGCCCAGGAGTGCTGCTTGGATCACACCGTTCTTCAGTGCCTCCCTGCTTCTTGTTGGTCTTCTCTTGTTTTTGTCCCAAGTCTGGGATTGGATTTGTATCTCTGACCTTAGTTATGCCTTTCTAGCACTGGTTTTCTCTCTGATCCTTATGCTTCTGCAGGCTCTCACTGCCTTTATGTGCTGCAGGTTGGACACACACAAGAACTGAAAGCAGGTAGGACGCTGTCCCTTGCTTTGCTGTATTTAAAAAAATACTCCCACTACCGCCTTTGGGGAAGAACTTGACCTGTAGGATGAGTGACTTCTGTCCAGCCATGCTGACACACCACAGCCATGCCTAGGCCCTCAACCCAGGCTGCCAGCAGGGCTCCTGCAAGGAGAGGTGAAGGAATGGACCTCAGGCAGCAGGGACACAGCGCCACATCCTTGACCCCAGGGGAGCAGCACTGGCTTTCCACCCTTCTGCTCTAGGCACACCTCTTATCTCCTTCCACGGGGTCCCGATGGTGATACTGGTTTGATCGAGTCCTCATTACAATAAAGGCTCTTGCATGCAGCTCTAGTCTCACACAGTCTGTTCATTACTCCCTTCAGCCAGGGAGGAGATGCTGGGTGACTTTTCCTGGAGCCCCCAACCTTTTCCCAAGCCCTCATACACCTGTAGCAGGGACAGGCCTGGATCTGTTCGCAGTGCCACAGGAAGGGACACCCACTGCATGGCCCCCATACCGCTAGGCCACCAGGGAGGAGAGGCTTCATCTGAGAACAAAGTCCCTGGCCTGTTCTTTCCCCAAGCTCGGTGGTGTCTGCAAGGAGCTCCCACCTCTGGAGCAGGCCACTTCTTCCCCTTCCTCCTTTTGTGAATTGTGACCAGAAGTAGCCAGCACTGCCCTGAACAACTTCACCCCAGGCTGGCTGGGCAACACAGACCTGCCCTGCTTAGTACCATGCCAAGGCTGTAGAAGATACCCCAGATCCAGCTGGGGTCATGCTGTGGGTCTCTGCCCACTTGCCTCCTTAGCCCACCTGTGGTGGTTGCTCCCTCTCAACCTGACCTCCTTGTAAACAACGCAGAGGTAGGGACACCAACTAAGACCCATCTGCATGTGAATTCTGACTATGAGCCCAGTGGGGTAAGACAACTAATTTCACATAGGAATTACAGTCTTGGTGGGATCAAGGCAATTTTACTTATGACCTCATCAACAGTAAGGCTATAGCTCTTGTCTTAATTATACACAATGCTGCAGTATAAACCATATGCCCAACTATTGCACTGGCATTAGATCACCATGGAACTATCCTCTGTCCCTCAGGGCAAAGAGCATAGGTCCAGCAAAATGAAAAGGAATGGCAAACTGTTGATGCTAAGGTGTGCGTTGTGTAGGAACAACAAGGATTTATTTGTGAAAGCGATACTGTCAGAGCCCAAGACGTTTGTCCTGACACTAAACAAAGTAGTTGTCCTTTTGAAATATATCCTGATGAAACTCCTGAAACCACACCTTTATATCTCAAAAAACAATGCGTTTGTATGAGAGCTCCTTACAGTTTTGTATTTGTAGATAAATTTAGCATAGATATGAGCAATTGTTCCAACATGTTTGTTATTTTCCTAGAATTATGGAATGCATCTTTAATTTACCAGCTTCTCTTACATCTTATCAATGATTACAATCTAATAGCACATTAAGTCAAGACTTACTGTCTACCCTCATCATAATAAATCATCTTACATTGATTAAAAAAAAAAAAGTGACAACACGATGACCTGTTGTGATAAGGCAGGTGAGAGAAGGTCAGATACTGGTGGTGAGAAGCACTCAAAGTTCCTAAGAGGGTAAAGGGGATAAGTTTAATGAGGGAATTACCATACAGGCTGCTCAGGGAACCTCAGGGGCCATGCAAAGGGGTCACAGGTGGGATGCTGCTGGATGCACAGGCCAACTTACAGGGAGGACTCAACTTCTTGTTCCTAGGTGCCCTTTAAATTTACTACAAGTGTTGCCTTATCTCAGCTGTGTTAACCTGGAGTAGCTACTGCCCAGGGAGCAGCTAGATATTGTAAACAAAACGGAGTACATGTGCCTGGTCCCAGTGGGAATTTGGTCAGTGATAACGGTCCATCATCATCCAGAAGAAATACACGGTGTTCTGGAAAAAGTGAAAAAGGATAGAGAGTATCAAGAGGAAACTCTTCTTGGGTGGTCACTAGCAGCAATGGGACTTTTTAAAATGCTTAATATCCAGTTGTGATTTTGTTAACTAATACTATTATGTCTATCACTTATAATCATATTGTAGATAAGGGTACGTGATGAAAGAAATAGCCCATGCTCAACTACTTGAAATATGTAGGTTAGTACTTAAGCAACAGCAATACTTTATGCTTAAGCTGTGGGCTTGCCCCCAGGCGAATCAGTTATGAAGATACTATCTATAGCAGAGAAGCTTATAGCAGAGAAGCAAGGATCCTGTGAAGGATGAGAGGGATTGACTCTAGTCTCAGGGTGGAGGGTGATAGTCTCGGGATATCAGGATAGCTCCTTTCTAAGTAGCCCAGGACACCCGGCAATGGCCTCAGCCCAAGGGACTAATGCCACACCGCCCTGGTCAGCCAGCTAGACCATGAGCCCCATAGGAGGCTGCTGGAGCTCGAGCCTCTCTCCCAGGCATCAGGAACAGGGATCCAGCCATCGTCCCTGTGCTCAGCCTCACCTTGGGTGCTGGGCGCCAGCTTTTGCCCCATAACCTCCTCCAGCCCCTGACACTCAGTGCACATGATAAGGCACAAGTAGGGCAGGAGCCCTCACTGCCCCAATAGCAAATCACACCCCAGGACAGCCCTCACCCCACTACTGCTGTCCTCTACGCTGTCCCCAAAGGCCACAGACATCCAGCTGGACCCCAAGGTTGAAGCCTAGTGCAACACCCACACACGGGAGCCCCACGTCAGCCAAGGACCAGCCTCCCAGCCTCAGGTTGCTGCTCGCATACGCAGTCCGTGGGAGGTGTTTGTCACCCACTGCCACTGCACTCCCCCGCGATGGCCCTCAGGGAGACATCACCTAAGGAAGAAGATGGGGAGAAGATGAAGTAAGCAAAGCCAAAGACCATTTGTTATATAGACTGAAGTAGGAGGCAAGATCCTGAGCCCTTTTGCCTTTTGACAGTAGGGGATTGGTGTTCCTATGGCCAGTTTTCCTGGAAAAAGCTGCCCTGTTCCAAGCAGCTGGATAGTGAGAACTCCCTCTTCTGCCCTCTTCAGCTTCCCTGCATTTTCCCCTCCAAAACTTCCTTCTAAAATGTTACAAAGACAGGGGCTTTGTACCAGGCCCATGAAACTGTCTACTCCTGGCAGTTCTTGAGCTGTTCCTGAGCTTCCCAGGGCCTCTAGCCCACATCACATTTCAGCTGTGGGCTTGGTCCAACAAACTGACCAAACTCTCACCCTGAGGAGCTCAGTGTTTTTCTGCATATCAGTTTCCTTATGTTCATGTTTCCTTCCTGCCACATCTACCCCAAAACTAAGCTAAAGACCTTTCACCATCCCTTCCTCCAGCTACTAGGAAACAGCCCACGTGAAAAAGCTACCACTGTTGCCTGGACAAAGAGCCAAGGCCTACCTGCAGTCCTGTCCTTCCATTCCCAATGATCCAGAAGTGAGATTATTTACTACAGACCCTCCCCATCTTGTACCTGGATTTGATAGGGTCCCAACATAGGAAGAACTTAGCCCAGCCTAAATAAACGTGACTTTAAAATACATACATGCATATATATACACACATAGTAACATTAAAATCTTGTACCTTGGTATCACAGGGGACTGCCTCTGCAAAGTGTCAGTGTCACCAGCTCACAGGGAAGCTGCTTTAGGTGCATGCAGGAGATTGCAGGTTTCATCTCCAGCACAGCCTGGATCTCTTCTCAGATGAACACTAGTTCTCTGGAAGCCTTGTTAGGGGTGTTCAAACAGGCCTTGTGCTCCAGCCCAGCTTTGGGCTGATCTCCAACACAAAACAGACACCTAGTGGCTGGCTGGCCCCTCAGCTCTGAGGGGAGCTGAGAGACCCTATGGGATGCTGCAGACAGCTCCACTTCTGACTGAATCCCACCCTGAACAGCTGGCAGGGCTTCAAGATGATGAAAGATGACCCCATGAGGATTTGATTTCTATTCACATCCACTACCACCCCACAAAGATCTTGTCTATTCCACTGCACAAAGACGTTCTGATGAGAGGCAGAAATTTGTAGACCCAGAAGCAGTTCTGGCCTCCCATGCAAACCCTTGTTCTCCATGACTCAACTGATATTTAATGGGGAAGGCAGATGGTGGGATGAGACAGCTGTAGTGAGTGCACTATGCAGAACCACACTGACTCTGGCTCTCCTCTCCCCTGTCCTTTCCACCATTAGGTACTAAGGATTATCTAATGCATCCAAACTCAAATATAAATATTTCAGAAAGTGTAATTCAGGGTCCCTCTTCCAATTTATGGAAGATATTGCTAGGGAACATAAAACATTGAACCAATACACGTACTTGCACAGGTTCCTCTCAGTGGCAGTGCTCTCAGTACAGGAAGCACCTGGTGAAAACACAAAGGTCTTTTCTCTGTGCAAGAGACCACTCTTGGCATATAGCTGTCTCAGCCATCAGCAACAGGGAAACAGAGCACAGGAATCAAAGTGCAAGGGAATATTTTCTTTTTTTATGAAAAAGACATTATACCCAAGGAATACTCTGGTTTTGCACAGGCCTTTTCAGCCTGAGCAATCTGTGCCCCAAGCACTGCGCTGCCTCGTGCGTTCTTCCTCCATCCTTGCCTTCTCCCACCCAGCCCTGGACTTGACCTCAGCAGCCCTCTAGCCACACACTACTTCAAGACTCCCTATCGGAGGGAGCCCAGCTGCCACGAGGGGTCAGTGAAGGCTGCCTGTTTTCCAGTGCTGCTGCTGATCCGGTCCCAGAACAGCACTCTTTTGCACAGTGGTTTGGCATATACGCTTAACACTTGCCAGAAGGCAAAAGCTAAAACGAGAAGAGTGATTGTAGTTTGCCTTCTCTCTCATGCAGTTTGTTCCTGTGAAGTTAACACTTTTTTCTTTTTTCCTCAAGTCTGTTGTTGTTTTCCTCCTGCACTTTCCAGGTTAAGACTTTTGAGCCAGTAAAGTTGTTAATTTAATCTTTCCGTCCATCGAGGCGGTAAGACAGGTTCCACAGTCCATGGCCATGCTCCAGTCCACTGTGACAACTGGAGCTCGGTGTCCTCCAAGAGAAAGGCAGCTCTCCAGAACCTTTTCTTCACCATTTAACTGGAATAAGAAAACGTAAGGATTTAAGAAGGCAAGTTTCTGCAACAGCAGCAGTGTACCCACAGGAAAATCCAAAGCCTCTTGGCCTCAAAAGAATCCATACCTCAATAAGCACATTATCAAGAAGTGGAAAAATAGATTTAGGTTGCGTACACAAGGAAGTAAACTTTCAGTCTCGGGACAGAGGCGCATGATCTCAAGCAGCTGACTCGTTACATCAGCTGAAATGCAGTAATTGAACATGGCAGGCAAAGAGCACTCAGTTGCAAAGAACACGTAAGTTTAAGCCACAGTTATGTTAGTGAGGCTGCTTTGAATGCGCAGATATAAAGTAAAAATAATTCAGTTTAAGTTGCCTTTGAGGTCAATAAACGTTGTAGTGCCTTATACTGATTTGCATTGCCTCAAAGGGAGACAGACAAGGGGGATGCAGTCAATGACCATCTAGCACAGCAACAATAACTTGGTTACTTTCAACCATGCAAACTTACCCCTTATAGAACTTTAGTGTTGTGTATACAGGAAGAGGAGAAAACCAAGACTGGCACTAGCAAAGCATTGGCAGGCACATGAGGCAGATTAAAGATAAGTAGTCATCAACTACACATTTTGCACTGAGCTGGCGTACGTCAATATTCAGAAATTTATGAATTCTTCCCAACAGTAAGAAGTTGTGCTGTAACTAGGCTTCAGGAACAAAGGAACACACACGTTCTAGCTACACACAGCTAAAGTGCACGTAGGATCAAACTGGAGTTTCACAGCGCAGGGGTCAGCAAGAGTTGTTTGGGGGCTTTCAAGGGCTGCTGTTGTTACAAGTGCTTGTATGGATCCACGGGAATATTCCCTGCCACTTCTCAGACTTACCTTAAAAATTACTCCCCCAGTAGAAGAACACGTGAGCATATAGTTCCCTTCAGAGTCAAAAGCAAAAAGCCTTCCTCGTGGGAACTGGACTTGCTTGTATCCACTGTATCCAGACAGCACAAAGGGACCTGTAGCTTCGCTGGGAAGATCATATTCAGACACCTTCAAGCCACTTTTGTGAATATTCCACTGAATAAACTAGAAGGGCAGAAAAAGAGACACAAGTCTGTCATTAGGTCAACTGGAATAGAAGCAGAAGAGCCCACTCGCATTTTTAAAAAAGTGGTTATTTCCAACATAGGTAATATGGCAATTTTACATCTAAAGCTATGAGGCAATATTTTTTAATACACAAGCTGCAAAGGCTGCAAGTGTGCCTCATGTATAGGAAGGAATATGCCTTTCACAAGTACTGCTGCTGTGTGTGCTCACACATTTTACAAGCAAGATCCCGTTGGGATTTCACTTGACACTCTGCAGCCAGTCTCCATCCCCTGAGCCACGGCTCTACTGATGAGGACTCCTGAGCTGCAGAAATTGGACCATTTATTATAAGTAATAGGAAATTCCTGGCAATCAATTTTATGCAAAGGAATCAAGAATCTTCTCCATGGTGATCCCACAGGCACAGAAAGCTCATATTCACAAGGGTTCTCTAGGAAGAGGATGTCACCAACAGAAGAATTTGCAGACAAGGTCTCACTCATCCAGTAGATTTCTGGCCACCTTCTCTGAAAGAACTCCTCATGCATGCATGAGGATGCACGATGGAAGTTAGCAGCTTGCAAGTTTCCCAGATTCTTATTTTTACTATCCATGGAAGGTCACACAGTGCTTACCTTGCCATCCTCCCCTATGCTGTAGACCGTGTTCTCATCGTAGCTGAATTCAACAGAGTAGACCTCCCCATCGTGTGCCCTCCAGCTCATGGCACACTCATGCTGCTGCATATCTGAGGAGAGAAGCAGTATTGAGCATTCTACAAGCAGAACCAGTGAGGAGAAAAGGGCTCTTAAAGCTGTCCAGGGCCCTGTCCCAATGCTCCCCCTGGGGGAGCCCAACTCAGTCTCAGCAGCCTGTCCATATTTTCCAACATGCTGGCTTTAGTCATTGCACTGGCCACACAGCTACTGCCTGTGAGCAAACCCCTCTCCCTCCAGCTTTACGCTGCCACATCTGTGTCATGACAGTCCTTCTGCATCCAAGCCCCTTGGTCACCTTTCTTCTCCTCTCCTCTCTTTCCCTGCCATCCCCTCGAAGTCACCTGAGACCGTTGCCAGCTCAGCACCCAGGGCAAAGGCAGCTCCCTGGTTCACAGCAGGGTGGCCTGGGCTGCCTTTACCACAAGGACGAGCTGATATGGATAGAAATGGCTCAGTGAATGACAGAACTGCAGCTCTTGCCTTCAGACTAGGGGCCCCCAGGAACACCTCCCTCCAAGGCTCAGCCTAGGGCGGTGATACTGCCCCTAGTTGGTACCAGGGCAGTGGTACCAACCTACCAGGGTCAAGGCCCCATGGCTCAAGGGCAGGTTCATTGTGCTCCTCACAACAGGAGGACAATAAATCCAGTAGCACTATCAGAGTCTTCAGACAACACTTCCAAGGAAGGCTTGGGCCACTTCACTCATGGGAGCTGCTGTGGAAGGCAGGGGGAAAATAGCTCCCACCTTGGCATTGGGGCCTGTCCCACAGCTGCCTCCCTGCTAGCAGAGGGAAGGTACTGGGGGCAACCGGTGCGGAACCCCAAGGAACCCACTCTGGTCCAACGTACCAAAGAGACGAACAAACCCATCTGCAGCCCCTGTGACCAGCAGGTTGCCGTTGTGGTTGAAGGCTGTGCAGTTAATAGCAATAGGCTCAGGGTCCAGGGAGAACTGCAGCTGGAAGGGAAAGTCTCCATTAATGCCTGGAAACCTCACACTGCGCTGGGAGGCAGGGCCTGGTGAGCAGAACTCCTCCCTGTCTGGAGCCCTACCCCGCTCAGGCCCACAGACCTGAAGGCTGGGAGCTGCACTTCTTGTGAACTAAACCAGTCATTCACCCTAGCCAGGTCTAAGCTCCCTCAGAGATGTCTTGAGGCTGAGAAAGCCCTTTCTGGCAGACGTTAGCCTGAGTTTTACACTCTCTCCTACAGGGGAGGAATAAAAAAAAAAACACCACCACCACCATTCGCCAGACAAGGGCAAGGGATGGGACCAGGATTCCCTGCCAGGATCCAAGTCATCTAACTGGAAACAATGGAGAAGGGGGATGATGACACAGTAAGCCTCTGAGCAAAGCACCCTTCAAGCTACTTGTGATAACGAACTCTGAAGGCAGAAGAAGGAACATGCACTAATCTGAAGAAATCCTAAACAAAAAACAAAAACAAAACACCACGAAACCCAACAACTATTTCCCTTAACTTAGAAAGGGAGATCCCACACACTGTTTAGGCCAGAAGACTCTTTCTCAGCAAGCAGACGCAGAATGGGAAGAAAACCAAGTACCTGCTGCTTCATTGTTTTAGTGTCCCACAGCAGCAGCTTCCCAGGAACTTGGTTCATGCTTCTGCCTCCACAGCTGACCGCTGAGAAGTCCATGTGGGAAATGGGGCTCGGGGCGGCCGCAGAACAGACGAAGGAAGCGCCGCTTGGGCTGCAGGCAAGTGAGAGGATCCTGAAACACACAAGTAGTCAGAGCTGCATCTCTCCAGCAGCTGCCTCGAGAACAACGCGCTCCACTCCCAGCTCTCTCATAGGCATCCTGCAAGACAAGTCCTGCATCTCAGGCATTTTGTAAAGGAGAGCAGGATTAAAGTATCGACATGGATTTTGATTCTGTTTCTCCAGTGTAGCTGAGCATCTTCATGATGCTCAGACAAGAGCTGCCCCTTTGGAAGAAGGCTTGATAATATTTCAGTTGCAGGAAAGCAGCAGAATCATTGACAGTCATAAAAAAGAAGAGAAAGAAAAGAAGGAGAAAGAAAAAAAAAAAGGAGCACATTAGGGAAAAATCAAGAGTATTCTAGTGTTACTTCTAGTGTTACCTGGGCATGTTTTCATCAATGCTGATTTCGCAAAGGTTCTTCTTTGCTTCTGTGTCATAAAGACGAACCGTCCCAACCCCACTGCCAAGCAACAGCTTGAAACCAGCAAGGAGGAGACAGAAAGAGTATAAGTACAATGATGCTGCCCAAAAAGCACCACCACCACACATAGTTTAACATCTTTTCCATTCATGCATTCTGATTACAGATCACTTCACTGGGATATATCCTGTCTTTCTGTGCATATCACACTGACTATGACTATCCCCTCACCACTGGAGTGAGTGTAAGAGCACTAAGAGCGCTACACTGTGAGCATCTTGAGAGAAAGATCCAAAAACCACCACGGTGGAGTAAAATCCACTTCCTAGAATATGGCTTGACAATATAGGGCATAAAGGAAATGAGGAGTCTCAGTATCTAGGGGAGTAAGGAAAAACAACACAGAATTAACCATCTAGGGTTTAGGGAAAAAAACTCATCAGAAGCCACTTCCTTTCATCCTGTAGAGGAAGAATTCATTCAGCAGGGTTCATATACACTTTGCAGTATTAGTATTTAAAACACCACGGAGGGAAGCTTTACAAAGAAAATGAAGATAGACAGGTCTGTTTTCAGTTCAGAGCACAATCTGCTGCTGAATTCTGACATATTTCAGACAGAAGAATCTTTTTATCAGTAAGCAGGAAATAACCTCCATAAAGCAAGGGAAAAAAAATCAGAATGACTACAAGGGCAGTTTCTCTTGCAAGTGAGAAAGAAAGACACAGCAGCAGTGCCAGCCCTTCACAAGCGACGTTTTGGGGCTAGCTGCAACACATCAGCAGTGCTAGAATATGAACCATCTCCCCTCAGTCACAGGCCTGCTTCCTTCCTGCACTGCCCTATTCCTTCCCCAGGGAAATAGCTGCAACAGTTAAGGGCTCTGAAGCTATTTAATTTAAAAGCTGCTTAAGTTACTCTCCAGTAACAGAACTGGAGGAAAAGGGCTACAGGAGAGATTTAACTGTCAAGAAATTTGAACGAGACAAGTCCCTGTGGAAGTACTGACTTCCTTCCACCGCAACACGGCTAAAGAAATGCAGAGTGGTGCTTACGGCACCACTGGCTCCTGAGCTCGCTTCACACCCCCACTCCAAAAGCACAGCTCCTCGGCCCCGTTCTCCTTTCTGTTTCTGGCTCAGGATGCAAGTGAAGCTTCACAGCTTCCCACCACAGATCTCCCACAGGCTGCTGGCCAGGCTGCCTACAGAGAGGCTTCTCCTGAAACTTTTGTTTCTGTCACGCAGTTGTTCATGTCCTGCAGGGCTTGGGAACCCTTCTCTGCACAAGTGGTGGTGAATTCCTTGCCCAATATGCACAGCACACTCCCTGCTGTCTAGCATTTATCAGACCCTGAGGCTCCAGCTCATCATGTCCCACTAAACTGGAAACTAGCCATTGCCCTGATCTTATCTGCAATGTAGCCATCTGGAAGTTAATATACAACACACAGCAAACCATTGGCCGTGACACTTGAATCTCTACATGCACAAGCTACTCACCAGCCGATCCCGCTTGGTTGCCCATTCCAGAGACAGCAGGGGAGATTTGGAAATGGATGAAGCTTTGGTCTGCATTATGGGATTAAAAGACCACACTTTGATGACTCCATCCACATCCAAGCTGGCCACCCTTCGTCCAGAACAATCAACCCTATGTGCAGAAGGAAATGGATTGCATATTTTTCTCCCTAGAGTTCTTAGGTATGAATAGGTTTCCTAGTTATTCTTCTCCTGGCCACACTGGCACCAATGTTCAATCCACACCAGGACCTAGTGCAATATAACGCACCAAGCTCCACACGCAAAGCATAACATGCTTGAACAGCCCCATCTTGTCTTGCCGGAGAGTTCTCTCCGGGTTGGAATCTCCCAATCACAAAATCACGATCCATTCTCACTGCACAAGCCACGGGTTATTGTCACCCACAGCAACCCAACTGCCCTGCTGCCACAGCTACACGCACAGTGTCCTGGGCAGGACAGCGGCTGGCAGAAAGAGACCAAACGCAGCTGCTCCTCTGAGGATGCTCCTAGGAGGGAGCGCTCCTCTCGCCGCTGCCAGCCCGTACCTGCAGTACATGATGGACGAGTGGTGCTCCCCATACCTGCAGTACATGATGGACGAGTGGTGCTCCCCATACCTGCAGTACATGATGGACGAGTGGTGCTCCCCATACCTGCAGTACATGATGGACGAGTGGTGCTCCCCATACCTGCAGTACATGATGGACGAGTGGTGCTCCCCATACCTGCAGTACATGATGGACGAGTGGTGCTCCCCATACCTGCAGTACATGATGGACGAGTGGTGCTCCCCGTACTCCTCCTGGCTCAGGACAATGAAGGGCTGCTCCTGCCGGACAGACGCAGCCTCCGCGCTGCCGGCGGGAGGCCTGCTCGGAGACCCCGCTTGCTCAGCGGCCCAGCCATGCACTGTACAGTAAGAATTGGAGGAATTACCACATCTCTGTTCAATATACCTCAGCTGATGTCATAGGCCTATTTTGATGCTGTTTGGGCACAGATTCAAAATCAAGTCACCACAGACTAACCGTGTGAGCAATGCAAAATAGATCTACATGACACAGCTCAGCACATAAAACCCCTTGGTGGAGGTAAAGCACACTGGATCCATTAACCTCTGGCTTGACACTGTTAGTTTGCACACATTAGGATAACCACCACAGCCAGATTCACAATCAAGTCATCACAGACTAACTGTGTGAGCAACGCAAAACAGATCTACATGACACAGCTCAGCACATAAAACACCTTCGTGGAGGCAAAGCACACTGGACCCATTAACCTCTTGCCTGATGCTGTTAGTCTGCACACATTAGGATAACCACCACAGCCAGCTGATTGATGACAACTTCAAACTCACCAAGAGTGAGTCCAAGAGTTTAAAACCCAATTTGACAGGACAGACAGAAGAAAAGGAGTTTCAGGAGGTGAAGGTGTCTGTAAGAGACATGAGCCACACTGCACCACACCATTGGTTCAAAGCAGCCTAGTCTTTCATTGCCACCAAGATCTGAACACAGAGCAAACACAGCACACTAGTGAGTAAAATGCCTCAAGCAACACTTTGCTACACCACCCTCCGAGGACAAAATGGACCAAAAGTATTATATCCTTATCTCCTACACATCTTGCCTTATTTGTAATGGTATCGTGTCTTCAGCAACAGGTCAAACACTACAAAATTAAATCCTCTGCAATCAATCAAAAAAAAAAAAAAGAGGAAATAAATTCAAGAATGCCTTTCTTTGTGTTAGTTAATGTGGGAGATAACCCATGACACTCATATGAAAGCAGCAGTGCTGCCTTTCAGTTTCATCTTTGCTCTGCTAACATACACTAAGAACGGCAGAGTTAAACAATATCAGCTTCCCCAAGAGCATCAGAAGGACAACACTTAACTTGGAACATTTCATTAAAATGAGAGCCAAAGGATACATGCTGGACAGCTTGGGTTTGCAATTTTCAGACCAATACTTAATCAAAACATTTTTTAGATGGTCATGAAGAACAAAGTGCCCTCATAGCCTAGAATAATCAGCAGCGCAGAAACAACCCCTCTCCAAGGCATCTCCCAGTGCACACAGAACAGCCACACGTACTGGCTGATAAGCAACAGTCCCTCACCAGTGCTTTACAGACCCCCCCAAGGCAGAGTGCCTTGGATGGCCAAGATAAACGCGGCTGAGGTGCTGCCGTTATGTCCTTTCTGCTCTCTTCTCTCTTCCAATAACACACGACTGCTGAAAACCAGACAACATGCAGGTAAACAGAAGTGGTTCACTGACCTTCAACAAATAAAATCCAGGATAGCTTTGTTATTTCGTTAGTTTAGGAAGCATAGCATGCCTCACACAAAATTCACTATACAGTGCAACTTCAAAGACAAAAATTTCTATGAAGGATATTAACGACGTCTCATTTTCCATTCCTTTCCAGGAAAAATTGCTATCAATGTTTAACTGCCATATAAAGAGCATGCAGAAATCAGCATGAAAACCTAGCTGCCAGGGAAAAAAATAAGATTCTGGAATCCATACTGCGGGTTTTTTTGGAAAAACATATTTCCAATGAGGCTTCAAATTCATATTACAGTTGCTCATTTAAATAGGATCTGTGAGTCAAGCTCATTGCTGTTAAGAAAGGGGGGGTTATAAGAAGATATTTGAACATAACAGCCATTAACATGAAAAAAAACAAACAACAACCAAAAAAAAAAAAACTCACCAGGACCAGGCTATTGAAAAGAAAGAACAAACAACCAGCCATCATCCATCTAAAATCCCAATTCTGAGTCTGCTCCAGGGACACAGAAATAATACCAGTGTGGAAAGAGCAGATTAGCTATAGAGATTAACCTTCGATAGATCTGATTTGAGTAGCAGTCCAAAAGCTTATGGGAACATTCGCCCTGGTTCTACTACCTAGCACAACAAATGACACAAACGTCAGCCCTCCACTCGTGGCCTCGCAGCGTTGCCCGATACCTGGGAGGTCCCTTTTGACAGCAGCTCCTTCCTTTCCTTCCCGTGCTCTTGTAAGCGCCGCTGCCGCTGCTGCAGGGAGCTCAGTTCACCTGCTGCCAACCCGCTGAAGTGGCTCTTCCCATCCTTGCTGCTCACTGCTCCTTCCTTTCCTTTGGCACTCTGAAAGGCAGAGGAACGATTTGGTGAAGTTACGCTTGTGCCAGGCTGTAGAGCAAAGGGCAAAACAGGAGGCAGCTGCAACATCCCCACAAGCCCTCAGACAAAAGCAGCTGTTCTTGTGCTGCATTCAGGCCCAGTGCTCAGCAGGAGGAAAGGACATTTTATTTTTTCATGTGGAAGCAAAAGCTTGGAACAGTGTCATGCTGCAAGTTAGCTCCTAGCTACCGAGCATCCTTCCTTTAATAGATCTGAGAATCACCTGATGATTTGCTGCTTCTTTCTTCCCTAGCAGCACACTGCCAGTCTGTGTTGGAGAAGCCCCACTTGGCTGGATTGGTCTGGAAGGGCCCTTTTTACTCTGGGAGAGGAAAGAGGACAGAAAGCCTCCCCGGGCCTGAAGAGAGTGTGCAGTGCTCCTCTGGCTGCAGGTCATATCACTAATTTGAAAGAGAGAAACAAAACATGAAAGCACAGCTAGACAACACAGAGAAACCCAACAAGCAAAGCACCAGCTGTTTGAACCACTACAGGACAGAGCTTCCTTCCCAAACTGATGTCAGACCACTGTCCTAGAAGACTATTTTAGAACATCCTGTTGGCAACTTGAGCAGATCATTATAACCACGCTAACCAGATAAAGCTCATGTCTTAGAGGTACAGTGCTGTGGAGACAGTAGGCCTAGCTCTGGCTAAATCCTCTGTAGAACTACCCTGACTCTTTACAACCCAACTGATTAGTTTCGAAAAGTTCCAGGGGAGAGGAAGAGGAACCCAGTTTTCCAGAGAGCATATTCAGCTTGGACTCCTAATTCAAGCTATTAAATAGTCTACCTTTGGGAAGCCCTAAGCATCCAAAGTTCTCCTCAACAATCAAGTCACATTCAGCAATTCCAAAGCACAGGCCTAACACCTCAAAAATGGGACCCAAAGAAATTAAGGAAAGCTAGGTCCATTTTATGGCTACACACACTTCCCTTTTCAGCCTGCAATGCCGAGAGCAGCAGCTCCTTCCCAGAACAACCACGTGGCCTCGTCCTGCTCTATCCTCCCCTGAGGGCAGAGCAGCACCAGATGAGGGGGCATATGATCTCCTCTCTAATCACCTCTCCAGGAGGGATTCTCTGTCCCTCATATCACTATTCCATGTGCAGGGATGAACACTTGGCCTTCCTCACAGTACGTAAACTGAAGAGACCTCCGGTTAAACTCTATGGGCTGTCCTACATAGTGCAGAGTGGTTACCAAGAGAGCTCAGCAAACAGTCTATTTACTCAGAGAAATTTTAGACAAAAAATAAGACTCTGTGTGTGGCCTCGGTCACAGCTTCTCTGTCTCTGTCTGCAGCATAATTTGATCAATTCTGCTCATGTCTAAGTGGACGTGAAAGAAGCACTTAAAAAACAAACAAACAAAAAACAACAAAGCTCCAGCCTGTGGCTAAGATACTCCTTGTTGTTTTAAAACAAACAAAAAAGACCTCAATAAAAAAGGGAATTCAAGCACACAGACTTGCTTTCGAGCTCAAGAAAACAAGGATTTAAATACATATCTAACAATTAAATCTGTATCACTGCATACATTGTCTAACCACAGATAAGAATTTAATAAATCAAGCATAACTGAGGCCCAGCAAAGAGACAGTCCCTTTCACCTGACTTGGAAAAGGTAAGAAAGCATCTCTCTACACAGCAATAATTCCTCCAGGTCACACAGCACCAGTGTCTACAGGTGACAAAGGACCCAGGTCCTAGAGAAAACAAATAGGGAATCAAGAGACTCTACAGCATGCGATTCATCTGAGCGGTACTACAGAGTACTGCACTGTTACCTTTATCTCCAAGAAAAGCCCTGCCCTGGCTGTACAAAATACCCTGGTGCAATGCTGAGACCACAGCAAAAAAGCTTCCCCACAAGGTTGGTCCTTTACAAATCCAGAAGACAGCATGTCCTTCCCCATCAAATATGGGGAGAGAAACTGTTGCAAATTCCCCACTTAAGCTTAGTTAGGACATCAGAAATTCTGTCTGGGTGTCTTTCTGCAAGGGCTTTCAGGGCAGGGGAACAAGCAAATGACACTCTGGGTGCCACCCTGAGCCAATAACAGCAGCAGGGGCCATCTCCACTCCTCCTCTGAAGGCACTCACAGCTCAGAGTCCCCCAGACGGTCCATGTTGGCCACATATGCAGGCAGTTTGTGATGCACAACTGCTTCTTCCACTTCCAGCTCTTCTTTCTTCACGCGGGAGGATTCAGCCTGCAAGGCAAATAGCTGCAACAAGACAGCAGAGCCGAGTGAGCAAAGGTTTAGTTGCAATTCACCTCCTTCCCACTCCGCGAAGTTGTTTATTCCTTTTATTTCAAAAGCCCCAGAAAGGTTGGGGAAGGGTAAAAGCCACTCTGATCAGCTAAGCACCCGGGAGAGGAACAATTGGCACTTTGTGAAACTGGAGCCTACTCCAACCCCTTCACTCCCCTGCTTGGGCTGTTGCTCTAGTGGCACTAAGGGTGCTGAGAAATCGAAGCCGGTCAGGGCAGGGCTGCCGGGCCTGTTCCCCCACGCTGCTCACAGGCAGCCCAAGCAGGGCCGTGAGGACGCCGAGCCAGCCAAGCAGCCTCCTGGCCACAGACATGGGCCGGGGAACGGCCCCGCCGCCTCCTCGCCACAGACAGGGGCCGGGGAACGGCCATGCCGCCTCCTCCCCACAGACACGGGCTGGGGAACGGCCCTGTCGCCTCCCCACCACACACCC